AAGGCTTGTCTTGGAGGCCCCTGGGCAAAGAGATCGACTTGAACGCCGGCTTTGCTGAAAAGAAGGGTAATATGGTGCGCATGAAATTTACGGTTCTATCCTCTGTCGCTGTGTAAACAGCGCTTAAAAGCCGGTGTGGAATGTCGTCGTGAGGATACTGACGCTACAATATGCATATGCGTGATTCAGACCATGACGTCGCGTTGATGTCAAAAGTGACGCCGTCATGGAGTATGTAGTAAATAAGAAAGTTCTCTAGATACTAAAGCTGAGAAACAGACACCTTGTATACTGTACACTTTGGCAACATAAAACTCAAGTTCATTTACTTTACTTCCACACATTTTGCACTCTACACAACAGATATAAACGAACACCATCCACAACCAAACATGAGCCAGAACAAGAACCCCAACGCCGTCAGCGACGGACGCCAGTTCGCAGGCCATGTCGCACCCAGCGAGCCCCTCATGAGCGGCGGTGTAAGCATCCCCATCCTCTCCCTCCTCCTCTCGGCCGCTTGAACCACCCCACCCCATCTCCCCCATCTCCCCCATCTCCCCAACCCCCCACTAACAAAACCAAGCACAAACCCGGCGTAAACATCGGCAATGACTCGGCCCCCGAATTCCACGCCCAAACCCTCCCCGCCGGCACCGCCCCAGCGCACTCAACACACACGCCCAACCCACCCCTCAACAACCAAGGCCTCTACCACCACGCCTCCGACACCATCCAAGGCGCCACCTCCTCGGATGTTCACATGGGGCTAGGCCACCCGGGCCAAGGTCAAACGAGCCAGGAGTTGCATGATGGACGGCGTGTGGGTCAGGGACTTGCGGGGTTGGCGAGTGGAGTGGGAGATCAGCAGACGGGTGGGGATGTGAGGGATCTCAAGGATTTGCCGAAGCATGCTGCGCAGAGGAATTTGGGGGATGTGCCGACGGGGCAGAGGGGGAATGTTGGGGGGCCGCCGGCGGAGGAGAGGGAGCCTACGAGAGTTGGGGGGTTGGAGGATTGAGGGGAAATGGTAGTGCTGTCGTGAGGACTGTGACTGGTGTTAATAGTGTCATCGCCAAGGATTTGGGAGAGCTTTTATGTGGCTGACTCGCTCACTGGTGTATTGTCAGAAAAGCTTGACTTGCAAGTAGCAATAGTCTGCATATGTTCTATATACAAACACAATACCACACTACCTCCTCCGTCCAGAGCCCGACAGAATGCATCCATCAGAGCACTCAGGATCCGTACTGTTATACGCAATCTGCCCCACACTACCGCCAGGCTCAATACTAGGATCACGTGGACTCTGAAACATGCGACCATTCTCCGGTGCAACCAAAGTCTCCAAGATATCACCAAAAGGATTGCGCACATGAGCAATCGGCTGACCCTTCGACACCATCTCATCAACACCAACCAGCCTCTCAACAAAGCCACCGTACTGCGACGAGGTGTCGTGGAAAGTAGTAATGATGTATGTTTTGCTTAGATCGGGCTCGACGGTTGTGTTTGAAGGCGTGATTTTAAGGTCGACCATAACGCGGTTTACGTAGTCGACTACGCGGTCGATAAGGCTGTTGTTCCACACCTTGGCTTGGCCCATTTCGACCGTGAGCGACGGAATCTTGTAGTCGATGAAGGTTGTTTCGATGGAGCCGGGCTCGCCGGGGTCGATCTTTAGCGTGTCGGGCTGGAGGAGCTTGGCGAGGCGCTCGACGTAGGGGAGGCGGAAGTCCGAGTAGCACCATAGTGAGGTTTCGCCGCCTGAGCTGGGGGTGTCTGTTGTGGTGATTAGTCAAGAAAGTGGTAGTTTGTTGTTTTGGAGGGCGTACGTAGGTCAATGCCCACGTCGACGTTGGACATGTTTCCCCAGATGTGGTTCCAGATGTTGTAGGCTAGGATTTGAGGTCCACTGCCTCCTTCTGTCGCTGCGACACCTGGGAAAATGCGGTTCACGTTTGTGAGGGAGCCGCTTGCGCCTGAGGTGAAGTAGTTGCGCTGGTTAAGGTAGATGCCCATTGGGTTGACAGTGGGAATACCAATGACTGCGAACGTTAGCAGTGCGCGTAGAAACTGCAATAGAATATCATACCCGTGCCATTGAGTGTCGCGACCTGGTCTTGCAGCTGCTCAAAAATGCGCTGCACCACGCGAACCGGGTTCAGCTCATCGCCGTGAATAGTACCCGAGAGCGACAACTTCTTCCCCGTCTCCAGACTCTCCTTGGTTCCTCGCGCGACCATAATGGGAATATGAACCGGATGACCGCCATTGAGCTCACCAGCTCGGAGATAGTACTTCGAGACGGTCTGTGGGGGCACATCTGCGAGATTGAGTCCCTGAATGACGGGAACGCCATTCACAACATCGCCGGTGAAGTTGACGGCCGAAGCACTTCCGGCGAGTACCGCCGTGGTCGCAATGGCAGAAAGGAGCTGCATTGTCGCGCGTTTGGCTGGCTGGGATGCTCAATTGCCATGGCGAGAGCTACCTACCCGTCATTTTATAGCTCCAGAACTGCAAGATAAGGCACCAGCCATTGTCGTCCTAAGATCCGTACCAACACGAGCGTTTTGCGCAAAGAGGAAGGTCAACTTGTCTTTTGTCCACACAAGTGACGATGCCCAGAAAAGGGCCTGCATGCCAATTCTCGGCACCCTCAGGGTGGAACCGGTGTTCGCTGATAACCATGGGCTCGGGTCGCATTCATTAGCGACGGCATTTGCTGCGACTGAGAATCCATTCAAAGCGGACTTTTTGCCTGGGAAGTAATGGTGTTTTTACTTGAGATTTGGGCATGTTTGAGGTTGATGTGTAACGCGCCGCCCTGATGAATCAAGACGCATGCGAGTCATGGTCAGGCCGATATCGATAAGGAGCCGTAAGCCTGACTGACAGTGCCAGTTCAACACTTCATCCATGGGTCTACAGAACTTATGACTTTTCGTCTCTCAAATGGTTTTCATGGCGCTCTCTCAACTTGTATCCACAGATCTTGCCTCAGCTCTACTGCTCCAGTCCTGTATCCATCAAACCGTGTCTAGCCTCATACTCTTCGATCTCGCACCATGTCTAGCCTAGATGATATCACCTTCCAGGCCCTGATCAGCCTTCCGTCTCTTCAACCCTCTCAAAGCGAGTACCCAGCGTACATGGCGGATACTACGTCGAGTGATGTTGGGCTTTGGTCGGGGGCGCGGCGGGAGCTCTGAGGGAAAATAGAGCTGCTGAGATAACTGGTGAACTCCAGTCGTAGGCATGGTTTAGTTGGTTCCGTTTATTATAACCTTAACTATGCCCGGGGGTGTCAAGCAGTGAGGTAGCTAGGAGTATGGTTTATAGGGACTGAAAATGGGAGCCATTGCACAAGCGTGCATGTTGTCTGACTTGGTCGGGTTCCTTTTAGTTGATCTTCCCTGAAACACTGCGCTGGACAAAGAGGAACTACTGCATAGATAGCTCGTGGTGTATGCAGCCATTGCTTGCTACCAAAGTAGGTTACATCGAAGTTATCTTCCCTTCTCGTTCTCCGAGCTCGTACATTCTGAGACTCAAGTTTGCCCACAATGTCTTCCTTGTCGTCCATTAACTGCCCGATCCTTTCTCATGGCACTCCCCTCATCCTTCTATTCTCTTCAATTCTCACAGAACCTCCCCTAAGATTCAATCTTTCTGTGTTGCAGAATGTGAATAAGCAACATAGACCACCATGATGCCTGCCATCACAATGATCTGCCCAACCAGCACAAACACACAGATCTTCAGCCTCCTGTTGGTCCTAGCAAGGTTCTGGAGATCATGCTGCACCTGACTCCGTACGCCTAAGCTACCCATCTCGATGTCCACTCGCGAAACGGAAGTGTGGTTGGTGGTCATGTTCTTATCCGTCTGCGCAGCTTGAGTCGGCGGCCGCACAGGTAGACTGAATAGGCGACGAAGGGGAGACTGTTTCGGCGGCGGGCGAGGCGGTAGTTCCGACGGAAAGGTAGACGACACGATCTCTGGCGTGACACACGGGGAAGGTGTAGAGTGCTGGCTCGGTGTCGTTGACTCGCGCTGTGGCGCCTGGGAAGCGCGCCTGGAGGGAGGGAAAGTCTGCAGCAGGTATTCGTTGCCAATACCGTTCGAACCGTCGAAAGGTTGAGACCTCGTGCGCTCAGGAAGTGCTGCGAGGATGGAGGCGGCGGTTGCTTGAGCGCCTTGCTTGGTCATGTCGTCTGCAGCTGTATCGTGGGGCGCAAGTGCAAGGTGTGCTTCTGCGACAACCATGGATGGCGAGGCGAGTGAGGGACCGACGTCAGTGAAAATATCGTTTGCGGTGCTGACAGTGGTAGCTGTGGCAGCGGCGGAGATTGCTCGTGTTGAGCTGATAGGCGCGCTGGAAGCAATCGACGCAATGAAAGGTAGCCGTTTTCATGTTTGCAGGATCGAGAAGAAGGGCACGCCCGTAGCCAAGAACGAGAGAATGGGAACAGAGTGAAAGATCGACCGATTGAGTGTCCTCATCACCGGGGTCACTGCTAAGGCGCTGACTCTCTTGCTAGCCATTGTCACGGGCTGAACGAGCTATACCGCATCATGTACGTTCTCACTTCATGCGCATTTGTCATAGAGTCTCATAGTAGTAGACGAAAGGTTTGCAAAGCTCGAATCAATTCAAGGTATAGGGCATACCAGTGGAGGTCTCATGTTCTCTTCCTCAAGTCAGGTCAACCAAGACCGTAATCTCAATGAAAAAATGGATACAAAGGAACTGTGGGTTGACGTGCACCCGTGCAGTGTTGATGTATCAGACCTGTGAGAACTATTAAAGTAGCTGCACTTCCTGACAAAAGTCAAGTCTCTCATGGGTAGCCTGGCGAACCAGGACTAAAATCTGGACAAGTCAGTACGTCTGTATCTAGCCTGTATCTAGACTGGACAAGCTGCTACAGATCCATGGATCGGATAGGTAACACAACCCAGTAACGATCTAGACCAGTAAACCTCTGGGCCAGTAACCACCTGGACACATAACACCTTAACCCAGCCTGAACCTAGACTGGATCTAGAACTGGACCCAGACTGGACAAAGCCAAAGCCAGTAACGACCTGGGCCAGGAATCTGGACAAGCCAATGCGAACCTCTTTTGGGGGGGGGGGGGGGGGGACTCGGTTATTCTCCGGCCGCTCCGACGTAGGCAGCAGCGCTCGGACGCTTGCGCGGTGGCGAAGTGAAGGTGAAGCCGTAGCCACGTGCTTTCTAGGGAGCGAATCAAATGGCTTGAACCGGGTCACTAGCAGTAGCTGGCAGTTGTCATTGCTATGAAATGATGTAAATCGGGGTCTATGAACAAGCGCAGCGCACATTTCCGCCAACGCACAGCTAGGCATCGTGGCAACTGCCTCGATGGCTCTGGAGGAATCTCGATTCACACAGTTGAGAACCAGATACTATATCGAGACAATTGGGATTGGCTTCGACATGGCCGCGTTAAGGAATGCTTTTCTTATAAACTCCACATACCCATCTCATCCCCTACCATGCGTGGCTTGAGTCCTAATTCTGAGATGCTCGAAGATAGCGCAAAGTCAAAGGGTGATTCACGGCCGTACTCAACTTTGACACTACATGGACGCAAAGCGCTTTCATGAATCTTCTAGTTCATGGTATTGTGTTAGAACGTTGCGACCGCGGTCTTGACCGCTGCAATTACGACATCAGTGAAGGTGAGTGTAGTCACGTGCTTAGCAAATGCGAAAGACAAGCTTACCACGCATGTCTCTGTGGCCATCAAGTAAGCATACAAAGAAGCGAACAAGGCGCTGAATCAGCCAAGTATCAAAAACCAAACTTGGTACCAACAGCAATAAGGCAGGGGATTCGACCAGTCAGGCGTAGGGAAGTGGTTCAAATAAGTACATATAGACGATGGGGTCGAGGCAGAAAGTTCAATGAAATTACTATCATTCAATCATTCATGTGGGCTCTGCCATTTACTCCAAGCCTATGTACAGATGGGTGAGATACCGGTTACACCTAACGACTTCCTCGCTCTCAGAAGTTGTTACCACCGGCACCACCGGCACCACCCTGCCATGCGTCGAGTGTTTCGATGAAGTCCTTGTAAAGTTGCTTCTGACAAGGGTGCACAAAGGCACAGTACGGGAGGTTGCAACTCTTGCCCAGTCGACACTTGTTGCGGTAGAGAGGCATCCTAGGCTGAACAGCAGAGATTGCTGGATGGCGGCGACTATCAATCTTATTACTGTAGTAAATTGCGCTCACTGAAGATGTAGAGGAGAGCATACCGAGGACGCCGAGCCGTACGAATGGGCAGCGAATGATGAGCTTGGGAGATACCTGGGACCTCGTGGGTGAGCGCTTGCTGCGCAGGAACGGCTGCGAAACCATGAACATATTGATGCTGATCTGGTATCTGGCTGGCGTTGACAGAGTTGATGTAGACACTGTCGCGCACCTGCATCTGGCTGTTGACCTGACTATTGGAATTTTTGACCTCGTTAAGCTTGTCGATGCTAATCTTGACCTTTGCCTCCTCGACATTGGCTTACTTCTTGGCCGTTTCGCATCTCTCGGTCGCCGTCTTTTCTTCGATATTCAAAATCTCAATCCTCTTGAGAGTGGCATTGAGCTCATCTCTAGCAATTGTCAGCTCGCCCTTGATAATTTCCTCGGCAGTGCGCTCGATATTGGCGCGACGTGCAGGGTTGTATAGGGATTTGTAGTCATGAAGCGGGTCCATATTCCCAATGAGAGCGATGTCTCGTTCATGCTCAAGGGTGGCAATGTGCTCCTTGAGGCTGTCTACTTCCTTTTGATGGTTGGCCATCTGGTCAAACAGACTGCCATTGAGTCGCTCCAGCGCAACCACCAATGCTGCCTCTGCCCTTTCAATATCATTGCTTGCCACTAAATCCGGGTTGTGGATCTTATCGATGATGGTCCGGGCTTTGCGCTGTGTCGAGTTTGCAGCTGCAGCGCGCAGAATGTCGGCGTGGCTGATGACGCTCTGCTCGTCGTCCAAGTCGAAGTCGTTACTGATGCTAGAGTCGTCGTCTGTGTGTCGGAGAATGATAGCACCGGAAACAGTACGGTCGTGGGTGATCTCGCCGTGATTTGCCATGATACGGGTGGGATTTCTAGAGTCTTACCCGAAAGCGCAAAGTCTTAGGCACACTTGTTGGTGCAAATGGCACGCCCGCTTGGGGTGGGCGCGGGGACCATGGGGCTAGGCCAAAAGAGGACATTGAGAGGAGAAAGGTTCGTTGGTTATGGAAGCGAAATGATACACTTATAGTGCGGAACGATTATGCGCCAGATGGAACACTGTACTCTCATGTAAGTTCCTTCGTATGATCAGAAATGGATGCATAGCCCCAGGCAACAGAACTCAGTGGTCGCAGCGAGCACCCCAAGGTCCCGAGGTTATCTTGATTGGTGTTCAAGGATATCCAGAACAATTGAAAGAGCTTTAAATCTACTCACCCAATAAAAGGGTGTGATTTGATTATTGCCAAACTACGGAAAGCACGCGACGTGGAACGATATTGCAGCGCACATGGAAACACTATGAGGGCTCGATCGTTCACTGAGAACACATTGAAAACAGGAAAACCTAATGTTGCCGGGTGGCTACTTTCCGAGATAAGCGATTTCAAAGTCAAAATGTGAATGCGCGCTTCCAGTGCTGATCTGGTCATTTGGGTCCAAGGAGCTGATAATGACTATGAAAACCTGTCAAAGTATGATCTTGTATTACACGCTACATGTTATGCCTTGGCATTTACATCTTCATTCATAGTACTTGTATGCCATGAAAAGACATCTCGAAAGCATCCGTATCCAAACCCTGTTCACGCTCTGTTGTCGCAATCGTGTACAAGTACGCTTGAGCTGGTTGTCGCTGTCTAGCCTTCGCCCAGTTGGAATACTTCAGTATTTGAATGTCGTCTTTGTAGAAGATCTCCTGTTCAGGATGAACGAAACCATATGCATCCCAGCCGCATTGCATTCCAAATTTGCACTGTTTGCGGTAACGAGGTAGAGATGGGCGGGCTACGGAGGTTGCAGTCTGGCGGCCACTATAATTCATGTTAGTAAATTACATATTGCTAGTCAAAGAGAATATGAGTATACCGTGGAAGAGGACCAGTGCTCAGAAGCACCTGGTCACGTAGTTGGGATAGTGTGGGATCGTCGGAGCGGGCTCTTGCGGCGCCGGAACTGGCGTATGACGTCGAACATCTTGATCTTGGCGTTCACTATGCTCGATGCGAAGAGAATTGATGTAGATGTTCGTTTGAGTCTGGATGTTGTTCTGGATGTTGATGGTTGCCGCGATACGCGACTCCTCTTTCACCAACTTCTCCAAAGCCTCTTTGTGATGTTTGACCTGCTCTTTGACTGCTTCGAGTTCCTTTGTCGCGACTTTGGCCTTGCTCTGATGAAGGTGAGCTTCGGCCTTTGCGAGTGTTGCCTTCTCTTGCTCAAGATGAACCTGTCCGATCGCCATGGCGAGTTCGCCGTTGACAATGTTATCAGCATTGCGCTGAATTTCGGAGCGGCGTGTAGAATGGTACAAAGACTGATATTGTTGTGGGGGTTCGAAGTCTCCGATACCGGCAATTTGTCGTTCGTTCTCAATCGTGCGGATGTGCTCTAGGTGATAGCGATCGTGTTGTGTGAGTCGTTCAACTTGTTCAAGCGCGTTTTTGTTTTAACGTCCGTCCCAGCGTAACAGGACACCCTGCGTGGCAGGACGCCGCGGACACCACCCAACACAACAAACGCAACAACGGGCTAGAGGTATACAGGCTCTCGGGATAGCAGCCTTAAGCTGCAAAGTTTATCCGCGCTTAGAGTCTTCTAGAAATACGTTCTGCTTACCGCGTAATACGACAATTTAGTATAAGCGTTAAGCGACCGCCTAGCTTTAGCTAGCAGTTAGTGTAGGGAAAGCTTATGCATCTTGTTAAAAGTCTATTAACTTACAGCTTGTTATATTATCATCCTATTCTAAGTATTGCAATTAAGCTTAAGAGGTTGTCGTGCCGTTGTGCTAATTCCAAGTCCGCCTGCTGGAAGTGCCCGATGAAGAGGCCCCGCACACCAATCTTAAAGTAGCTTAGCGGTAACCTATTGCTGCTGACACTATATCTGTGGCTGTGCGGCTGTGTGGCGCTATTGCTAAGCGCTCTAGGACACTGGAAAACCGGCTTAGATTAGGAGCAGGGCTACGTGATGCTGAACCCTGGTGGCTTAGTCACCCTGCCGCCGCTTGCCCCACCATCGTCCTTAACTCTCTCTTTTTAGGCTTCCTTCACAACACATGCCTACTATTAAATTAGTATTTTTGCCCGCTTCACCCCTGCTTATAATGCTTACTAGGCGGTTGTTTTTATTACTACTTTAAATTTAGTAAAGCAGACAAGTGATACTTCAGCAATGCCACTGCTTGATCTACCAAATGAGTTGCTCCAAAATATATCAGAATACCTAGAATCTGATAGAGATATCAACGCCATTGCACAAGCTGACGGCCGCCTTTACTGTCTCCTAGATCGCTACCTCTACCGCTACAATATACAACAATCTGGAAGCTCAGCGCTGCTGTGGGCTGCCCGACATGGCCAAGAAGTGACAGCGCAAAAGTTGCTGAAGGAAAATGCCAATATACAGGCTAAAAATGACAATGACGAGGCACCGCTGTTTTTGGCGGCAGAGAATGGGCATAAACAGGTAGTAAAGCTGCTGATTGACAAGGGCGCCGACGTCAATGCACAGAGTGGACTCTTCGGCGACGCACTCCAGACGGCTTCAGCTGGAGGCTACGAGCAGGTGGTGAAGATGCTTCTCGACAAGGGCGCCGACGTCAACACGCAGCGCGGATATTACGGCAACGCACTGCAGGCGGCTTCAAGAGTAGGCCACGAGGCGGTGGTGAAGATGCTGCTCGACAAGGGCGCCAACCCGAACGCGCAGGGTGGAGATTACGGCAACGCACTGCAGGCAGCTTCAGCTGGAGGCCACGAGGCGGTGGTGAAGATGCTTCTCGACAAGGGCGCCGACGTCAACGCGCAGCGCAGATATGACGGCAACGCACTGCAGGCAGCTTCAGACGGAGGCTACGAGCAGGTGGTGAAGATGCTGCTCGACAGGGTGCTCGAACGTCACGCGCAGGGGTGGACGCTACGGCAACGCAACTGCAAGGCAGCTTCAGCTG